TGTCACAGAGAATAATAGCATAGAATAACTACTTCTAATGTCCAGAAACGATACAGGATACTTAAGTAACCATTTTTTATTAATAAACTAATATCCGGAAACTTCTCAGTGTCAAGCAACCTATGAAAGACACATATTTTTGTCGTTAGATAAAAATATCTAATTGTCACTTTACGTGTCACAAATTAATATTTAGCATAAATTAATGGTTGGTTGAAAATGCATCATTTTACAAATATTGAATTAGCAGATATGCATAATATATCATACGGGACAGCTTATGGTAGTGCTAACGAGGGAAGGAGAATTTATTTTTTTGAAGCAGCGTCCTCAGCATCACATTCTCTGTCATATATCGTTCTTACGGTTGGATCAGCTTATTCGAAATACTGGTGAAGTTAGTAATAAAGAAAAGAGATACAGGAGTCAATCGTTCTGTCCGAATTAGGAATAGCTATTCGGTAACACCCTATATAAATATATCGACTTTTGAAAACTTCCCCAAAGCCTTCCAGGCAATCTGTTTCATTTTATTAAAAGGTGGCAGTAGAAACTTGAATCGAATTCCATCGGTATAAAAGAGTAAATATTACCCACTAGCTTTACAAGAAGGGGGTTATTTATGAATTCTGTTAAATTTGCGAAACCTTCCCTTCGTTATAATTACCATTAACAACGCATCCACGTTTCGTGAGGAAAATATCTTAATAAATAATACCAAACTGTAGTATATAGAGAACAATTTTTCTCCGTTTCTCTTTTGTCTAATGGTCCTATAGCCGACCCTTATCAAATTAACAATTTCCTCGGTTCCCTCGGCCTCAATAAATCCCATGCCATTTACAATTTTTTCGCTAATAACGGAGAGATAGCGTGCCACTTTAGCCTTAATACACACAGACTTTAGCTATTCCGCAAGAAAACTACACGCGATTGTGGAAGAACGAGAAATTACTAGGACTGTCTGCAAATAGATTTGTGAGCAATGAGGGAGCGTATGCACTGTTCAGTAAAATGGTTGAATGTTAGTAGATATGTTTTATTCGTCTGCCTTTTTTACAAAAAATGTGGCTTTCGCTATAGTTATAATTTTTATTTGTAGTCCTTTGAGTAAAAAAATCTGTTGGCCTTTATTAGGGCAGCTTTCAACCAACAACCCTCTGTGGACGTTCCGTTATCTTGGATTAAAATTAGTGAGACTTTTTACGTTTTTTGGTGGGTCACAGGAAAAATACAGGAGACATACGTTTTTTAGTTCGTTATCACCGCTATGAAAATTGTCTTATCGACGTATGAGTCTTCCACATCTGTGCTTTTCATTGTCAGTATGACAACTTACTAACGTCTAAAGATACAACTAGAATGTCGACAGTCTGTATGAGAGGTATTTTCATGAGTATGTGCGTTTCGTATCAGCTTGCACAGTGTGCGATTCCCTCATGATAGCTAAGCTAGGCACATGGCACCATCGGACGATCTGTTCACTCGTTTCGTATGGCATTGTGACGTAATCTGAAAAAGCCTCAAAAAGAACTATAGTCATATTTCTAATTCTGACGCACAAGTATTGCATTGTTCTACATATTAGTATGTAGTTGACATTTTCTTCATAACTTTCATGTTAACGAGCTATAATGGATCATCCAGTCTCATGGTGGGGCTCATGTCGTTGCTCTTGATATCACGAAATCGTTCGATCAGCTGTAGCACGCTACCCTCTTATGCAAACTTCCATCCTATGGCCTCCCAGAGAAGCTTGGCTTGGGTTGCTGACTTCCTCTGTGGCCTCAAGATATCCGTCTTAATTGATGGGTTCTCCTCGCCAGCGCACAACATCAACGCGGGTGTTTTCCAGAGATTGGTCTTGGCTCCGACGCTATTCCTGTAGCATATCAACGACCTCCTTTCCTATATGATCAACCCAATCAGCATCTTTGCTGATGACATCAGTCTACATGCAGGAATTCAGAGCGACAAGCCAAACTCTGCCGGTGAGCTGGAAAAAGGGAGACCAGCAACGACTTCCTCTCTGACGAGAGATAAGGAGGTTATCACTGCTTGGGGACGCATCAATCTTGTGTAGTTCAATGTTTCCAAAACACAGTACTATACCTTGACAAACAGAAAGAGTCCTAGCGCTCATCCGGTTTCGATGGATGGCCGAGTCCTGCCAAAGAGTCGTTAATTTCGGCTGGTCTGAGTCGAGATCACCGACAACTTGATCTAGCACGAACACATCTTATCAATAGTGGCAGCTGTCGCTCTATGCAAGGCCCAGATATGACCTAGCCTCGGGTATTGCGTTTGGGGTACTGCCGCCCGGACTATATTATGTATGTTTGATACTGTCCAGAGGAGGGCTATTCGATTTATCGATGACTCTTCTCTAACAGACAGTCTCGGGACCCTTTCGCACCGGCGGGCCGTCGGCGATCTAGCTCTACCGCTACACCAACGGACTTTGCTCTTTAGAGCTCGCCTTCATGACGCCGCCGCGCGATGTGCCTGCTAGACAGACCCGCCTGACTTTCACCTCCCATCCTAACCGTGTCGAATTTCGTACATCCAGAACTGGCCGATACGACCGCTCCTTTGTTCCGAGGGTTTCAAGATTGTGGAACAATCTACAAGGGGAGGCGTTTAGGCGTTTCTCACTTCTACTAACATTAGTCTGTTCAAAAATCGGATTAACAAAATTTCTTTGGTATCTTCATAGCAGCCGTGGTGTCCTGGTATTTCGGCTTCTGCCTGCGAGGCTGCTTCGACTTAAAAAATGTCAAATAATATCCTATATAAAAACATTTTCGAATAAAAACTATTTCTATTTTCTTCCGATGGATTTTGAATTTTTTTCATTGATGTTATTTTAAGGTGTATCAACTTTCCATCGCCGCTGTTCAACATTAGTAAAATGCACTTACACATTTCCAGTGCCATCGTCTTTTCGAGGATACCGTCCTCAACTTGAGTGTTGAACAACCTGGGAGATGATTATCAAGCACTTTAGATTTATTTCTTTAAAAATCAGAAAACCTGGTATCAATAGTATCAGCCCTTTATAGTGAAATAAATAGCACATTGTTTACTTTACTGGTCTCTTTAGAATTATAGTTTTTATCAACGAATATCTGTTGAGATTTCACGTTCATACTCAAGGAGGACCTGTATTTTGGAAGTATAATTATTAAAATTATAAATTATTGCAGGTTTTCAAAGTCTCTCTCCTCTCTCGGATAATTTGTTGTGTTGCCAAGACATCCGATAATTCTCAGGATATTCTGGGTGATAATCTCACATATTGAGGTTTGGCTTCTAAATGCATTTCGGAAAGGAATTTTGCCACGAAGAGGAAGAAGTCGTAAAGGCCGGTAAAAATAAACTCGTTAATTTTAATTATTATTGCTCCGTGGTCGATCCGGATACGGGTGTAACCTGAGGAAACAAAGATGGAGAGGAAAAAAAAGAGACACACGAAGTCCACAACAAGAGCCAACCTACACATTGTAGTATCAAACGGCTAGAAGACCTAGAATTTTCAAGGCGACAAATAACCACAACCACGCGGATGTATGGGCATGTGTCTCTACTTTTGTAGTTGCATATGTGCATTCATTTCGGGCCTGATGAAGCCAACCAGCAGAAATACGTATCGCTCGGGTTACCTATCCTATTCTGCTCAAATCCACTTTTTGCGGATTTTGCCCATTATTTTCCTATTTTTGTTATATACCTTTCTCCGCATGATAATTTACTCTTTATATATATATATATATATAAATCGGTCTGAATTTCAGCTGAAGAAATTGCACACCACACTTTGACTTTAGATGAATGCAAAGGCCAGTAGCGCGTGTTTTATTTATTGACGTCCACACAAAAGAAAATGGTCTTCACCACTAAAAAAAAACTATAGCGTCCCTAAGAACGGTCACACTCGTTCATCCGAGAATTGAAGTCACGTTTAGAAAGTTCCTGCACAGCTGTCATCTTGTATGAATGAAAATGAAGATCATCATGAAGAATTCTCCTCACATAACTATCGGAAAGTCGTCCCACGGCAGGCGCATGTTTGCGCGCAGAATGCCGTGGCGATCGCAAAACATTGAAACTCCCACTGCCTCAATGTTTTCAAGTGATCTAATGGGCCAAGAGACTCCAGTTCTTCGTCTTGACGTAGTGACCCACGTAACAATTGATTACCGGTCCGGGACAGGGTCCAACGCGATTAAAAAACTAGACCTCAACAGCAAAAACACGTTCCTCACCGTTCTAAAGGATGATGGCGACTGAATTGTATCAGGTCGAAACTTTATAGTCCCGCTTTTCGAACAAGACCACTAGCGCTCCGCTACTACATCAACCGACTGAATGGAGCGCATTTAAAAAAAAGGAAGTTATGGTTACCGTGCATATACAGCGTGACACAAAAGTCCCGGAACGGCATTGTATTTTCTCGGGTAAGGTATTTTTGGACAAGGGCAAGGTCAGGACATCAGTAACTTTCAGCAAGGATTTCAACGGTGAATGTGACTTGTGCCTTCATCTTCAAGGCTAATTCAAGGTCAACTTAATTTTTTCAAATAGAAACCCATATTTTTGTCGCCGTCAATCGAAAGAGCAGAAAATTTTACACTCAAACACAATCAAAATTGTTGATCGGGATGGCTACCAAAGGTCAAATAAAGATCAAACGTGTGATGCTAGGAATCCTCTATAAATATCACAGGACGAGTGATGAAACTAACTATCAAGGTCAGTCTTTGTTGAATTTTAACTAGGAAGTGAACGCTGACCTTGGACTTGACCCTGCTTATCCAGCTAAATTAAATGAATAGAAAGAAATTAAAAGAACCATTCATAACGAAATTAAAATATAATTAACGATTCAAGTCAAGAGACCTTTTGCCCAAAGAAACCTTCAAATTGGCAATCTTTATGGAATCTCAAATTATCCTGAATCATCTATTTCTTCAATACACATTCTTAATTTCTGCGTCTAGCAGCAGATTCACGCCCAGCAGGTGCCGCATGGTCCTTCAGCGGCTGCAGCGGCAGCTGCCGCGGCAGCAGGTCTACCGATGGGTCCAGGGGGCGCCGCAGGGCATCCGGGTCTGCCGCCTGGAGCAATGGGGGCGGCCGCCGCCGGATTGCTGGGCTTCGGGGCAGCAGGATTAACGGGTGGACCAGGCGGAGGTGAGATATGACATATTTCTCAGTATTTGTTAAGGATAATTATTCTTTCCTAATAGACCCACAGCCTTGGGTCAAATTCAGACTATATTGAAGTTCGCTAACAGAGAAAGACGTTAAATAAAGTTTCCTACCTCCAGCCCGCTGCATATACATGCATGAAACATGCAACTGAAAATGCTTTCCACAAATGGATAACTCAGAAGTGTGAGCACTGAGTTTTATAAAATATAAATTCGCGAAACTAGTTTCTTGCAACTATAGTTTCAAGTGGTAATTTCAAATTTTAATTTAATTTAACTGAGACCATATCGAAGGAATCCCCTTTAAATCTGAAGGTTTTTTAAAGCTTTCAGAAGATAAAATGAAAGACAAACATATTAACACGGCCCATCAGAGCCGATGTCCCCCAGGGTTCGGTTCTTGGACCAATTCTTTATTCACTTTTTATTAATGACGTCCCATACCCCTGCAGCTGTGAAGTCTATCTCTATGCTGATGACACTGCCCTGGTGACCCAGTCGTGTTCTGGGAATCTGGTTCACGACAGGCTGCAAAGTGCAGTGGACGAGGTATTGGAATGGGCGGACCGATAGCCGATCAAAATTGATCATTTTAAAACGCATCTATTGTACTAAAAAACGCAGCGGCGCCCCGTCTGAGGTTACAGTGAACGGAGCTCGCGTACCAAGCGAAAATTCTGCTAAGTAACCTGGTGTAATTCCTTGACAAGGGGATGATCTGGTAAAAGCACACTGAAGCATTAAAAACTAAATTCCAAATTACGTTTTGGTAATCTTTGTTAATAAAGTCTGATAAAAGTTCAACTGTACAAAGTGGTGATTAGACTAGCGATCACTTACGCATGTGCCGCTTGGTGTTTTCTCGCTAAACCGCACTTGCGTAGTCTGCTGGTTTTGCAGAACAACCTTGCGTACAATCACTAACGCCATCATGTTAAGTCTCCAATGAGATCCTTTACAGAGACCTTGACATCCCTTATCTAAAAGACTACATCTAAAACAAGCGCAGCTACGTTATAGTCAAGCGGAATCGAAAACCAACCCTTTGTTGCACGATTCAGTAGACTACACAGTCGAGCAAGTTCGCAAACTCACGAAGCCGTACAAAATTGAATGGGTCTAACCAAAATCATCACCAACCTCTAAATTAATTTTAGGATCAATTTAACATTCCCGAATACTAGTAAACGATGCCGGGGCACCTCTCAATTGTCGCACTTCTTTCTCTTTGCTGCCCCTCCTGACTTTGTTTGGTATCTTTGCAACTACACCTGACACACCTACTCACTTACAATGCTTTAACCAAGAAAGAGCAAAGGTCCTGCGGACCGCTCTGACAAAACGACGAATAGATAGATATACAAACATGTTTAAAAGGATAGAAATGGAATTCAATTAATTCATTATAATTCATTCTTTTGCATTTTTTTGTCATAAGTCAATACTTGAGCTTCGCTTCTTGGTGGAATTGATGAAAATAATTCCCTATGTGAACATGTTCAGAAAAAACTGATTCTTGAAACTAGCTATTTAACTTGAAATTATCTCAAAAAAAGTTAATTTAATCGAAAAATACATGTTTCACTTGAAAATCGTAATTCTATCATTCTATAATATAGCAGAAGTCGTGGCATTAAATAGCGGATATTATAGCATGTAACTAGCGCCCTCTACATATTATGTTGAAGAATACAATATAATCGTACTTCTCGACCTCAGAATCCCTCGATTTCTAATTTTCATGCTGATATTACCAGAGCAGATTTAGTTGTAGACAAAAATCGATTTTGAAAATTAAAATTCGACACCCTGTATGTCATTAGCGAGAGACTTTTTACTAAGGCTTAAAATCATTATTTTCACGATTTTAATCCAGTATCGCTTTTTGGCTCATTCATTACCCTGTACTTAGGCATGTTTATGCTATCATAGGTGCTCCCCATCCAGCGGTGACAGCCGCCGCCGCTGCCGCAGCTGCTGCACATCCGTTGTTGAAGCCGGCTGATTTACACGCAGCTGCTGCGGCAGCCGCAGCTGCAGCTGCAAGAGACTCAGCTGCGCATGCCGCACAGGCCGCGCACCAGGACCTCAAGAGGCCCGCCAGCACAAACGCACCTTCAGACGAAAGACTGGTATGTACATTGTTTTATTCCATTTATTTCATACCCAATTTTTTTTCCGATAAAATTTTCAAAAATGATCAGAATATTCAAAAACGTCGGAAAACGAGGTTTCATCGTTATCTTTTTATGTGTAGTCTCATTCTGTAGGTCTCATAAATTCCTTAAAATCTCATTTGAAGAGTTTTCTCGTTCCTGTCAACACTTTCGATTGAATCCCAAAAAACACGTTTTCTCATTTTTTGTTGAAGAATAAAAAGTTTTCCCACAAAAATTGGTGTACCCACTTTATGCGTCCATATTTTAAATACTCCCTTGAACAACTTGCATCAATAAAACCAGACTTTACATTTATTTCGGGAAAATTTGCTAATATGATTAGACTAATCTCAAAGATCTACTGCAAACCAAGAATGAGTAAAATAGTTGATATTGAAATGCATAATTTTCATATTTTTACATTGTTATATATAAAATCCTGTTACTTTAGGTTCTTTTCTCTACTTCCAGAACTCAGTGTCCCCGGGTGATAGAGACAAATATAGGTCGCGGTCTCCGACGGAAGTCGACCAAGTCGTCAAAAGGCGGAAAGAAGACAAACTCGGACATGTGAGTTACATTCCTATCAGCATCATATTACATATTATCACGTGTGGTGTGTAACTGCAATTTATTATAATTCATGTTACAAAAGAAAATAGTATTGTAATGTAGAATCGTATAAAGCCTATGTACAGAGTTAAAACGATGAGAATGCCAAACGATCAAGCAGAATGCGTAGTTTAGTGACAGCTAGTCCCACAATGTAAACCTATCCGCTGCTAAGAACCGATCCAGATTTTCTCATTTTATATTTTATTTTAAACTGCATTATTGGCATTCGATTTTCAAACTCCATAAAAGGTATTGTTATATTAGTTAATATTTACATTTTTATTCACCGCTACGATGGTAAATTGCTTCATACTAAGATCATGTTTGTTGTAAGCTGCTGTGTAAATATACCGATGGCATATCAGGCTCAATATAACGTTATTCCTCGAAACTCTACTTATATTTAGAATACAAGATTTTTATTACAACAAAACAGCTACTAAAATGATCGGAGACGCTTCCATTGATTCCGGTAGTATCCCAGTAAAATAAGGAAAAATCTAAAACGTCTCGTACAACATAAAGAATGTTAAATAATAATAATATAATAATAATAATAATATTTAATCCCATAGAAAGGAATACAAAATCCATATGCATGGGACATGTGACTATTAACAATACATTAAATGTTTATAGCTTACACAACTTAAAGATGTAATGATAACACATTCATTAATATTACAACATAGTCGAATTTTACAATACATGTACGGAATTTGCATCATACACATTTTATCAACGTAAGTTGCAAGTAACCACAATGAAATATCTCAATATTTAATTTGAAGAATAAGTGAACATCTTGAATGGTACAGGTAAGTGGAACATTAATTTTGGCTCCAGAAACATGAGAAAACTGTATTTCAAATAGGTATTCTTTAGATCGTTGTGATTTGTTACTTTGTGTGAGTGTGTTGCGACGCAGTATTTTAGAATTTTGTCTGGATATATTCAAAGGTGACTACAGTTTTGGCAAAATTTTGTGTGTATATTTCTACTGTTAAAATCCTTCATTTATATTTCACCTGTAGTTGTTTTCACATGGAATAAAGTACCTTGAGTGGTCATAAATGGAGCATTTTTTCCAACGATTATATCATTCATTTACAAAGTTCTCCACAAGCTCGCTATTAGATGAGAAATTACTCGGATTAGCTGAAGTCTATGTTAGATATAAGCTTAATTTTGCTGAAAGCACTATATATGTTACGTGTGTTTCAAATTCGAACCTCGTCTTTGGGATCTCGAAGACGGTAAAGCGAATGTCACACTATCAGTATTTACTGTGGTCTGAACCATCAGTGGATTTCTACGTAACATTATGCATCAATTATATAGTCCACAATTTTTGTAAGGAACAATTAGATACTAAGAACTCACCATGTATGTCTAATTTGTTGCAGCAGTTTCGTCGCTATTATAGCTTGAGGATTTTTCAAGGTGTTTTCGATGTTAATCACTACAATTGCATATTTACTCTTATGCACTTTCTTCTTTTTGAATTCTGACTCCTCTAAGGAAATTTTAGATTGCGTTCAAAATTATCAAAAACGAAAAAAATATATAAAGTTTGGGAGATTTATAGATTTTTTCTACTTTCCAATATATAGAAGGACCAATGATTAATTAGTTTTTTTGACGATTGTTCTATCCCAACAGGACTAACAAAAATTATAAATATTATTTTGTCTGTAATAGAGAGCCAAGGAATACTTGATGAACGCCACAAAAAAGGTACCTACTATGTTATATCTGAAAATTATTCTTCTATTTGTAATTTTTCGCGATTACAGAACTTACTATACCTGCCCTATTCATCGGACTGAAAAAATGAGCACTCTATTTGAATTTTGAGGGAGATGCACGCCCAAAAAACAAATATATGAAATTTGTAGTATAGCAAACATTTTTCATAGATGTTATTATCTCAAGTGTTGCTTTCAAGTATTGCAAGCGACTAAATTATTACTTAAAAAAGCATCTCGAGCAATATTTGCTTGAATGTTTCAAAAAAGTAGCTTTCAATACACACATGAATTGTCACAGCGTCGTGGAAGACTATAAAAATGAAATGCAAATCGAAAGAAAAAAATATCAGACAAGAGTTATGGTGATATGATTTGTGGATCTTCCATCAAAAAATTTTTGGAAGTCCCTTTACTTACGTTTTGAGTTGGGTACGCCGTTGGCGATAGAGAATATGATTATTTAGCTATTATTCTAAAAAAATACCAATAATAAATAAAGATTTTTTGAATTCTGTCACATAGCTTGAAACAAGTGCTAAAGTCAGATGTGTACGATGTTGAGTGTGAAATCCACTGATTCGCATCCTAGATCCTTGGTGAGTTCTGTATTCTGGTTTCCACCTCTTTTTCCTTTCAACGTAATATTCAATGTATAAAAACGCTCAGCTTTGACAGCGTGCCATTCCGCAATTTTGAAATATAGTAATTTTATATTCTATGTTTATAAAGTACTCATAAGTAGCTTGAAAATGAGGTATTACAAGACCCCAGTACACTAAAAAAAATGATTTTAGATGGCGCCCAGCCATCTTGCAATTTTCAACATTTACTTTTGCCTTTAAATATAGTATTCGTATAAGTGTATATCACTGACATCTTAGATATCTGACATGCTTGATGTTTCCAATTCGCAGAAAAATCTTTTTTAATGGAATTATTGTTTATCCTTTGATATCTTTATTTTTATTTAGGTGTATTGTTAGTTTATAGCAGATTCAACTCACAGCAGTCTATTTATTGAGAAACATATAGAGTCGATAAAGCTAAAGCTAGAAAAGATACGCAAGAATAGATGAATACGATATAAACAAAAGGATTTCCTTCGACAAAACCCATTTTATGTTTCGCACAGAAAGAGATTAGCTGTTTTTGTTCCTGTTTCCCCTCGTATACCGGTCAAATTATTCACCAACTTGTATTTGTTTTAATTCTATTTCCATTGATGTTCAACCGATTAAAAGTTTATTTTTCATCGTTTTTGTTTTATCGCTCGCGTTCAGTCCGAAGGCTGGCGGCGCTTCTCAACAGAGGCGGCGGGCTAAAGAGGGGCATTTTCATTAAAAATGGTGCAGTTTCAAGTTACGAAAAATCATTGTATTTATGTTCTAAAATAAATGTTGACATCGTTACTTGTGAACATTTTCGGAAAAAAATTTATTGAATCTAGTATGGAAGGTTGTAGGAGTAAGGGAATGACAATCTTCTTCTATATTTTATATGCTATTAATCCCTGCAATATATTACCCCATCAACATGTCTTAACATTATACTGCCATATAGTTAGAAATATGTACAATAATAATAATAATAATAATAATAATAATAATAATAATAATAATAGACGTCTTTATTTGGAAATAGACTAGATTGGCGAAGTTTAGCAATCGCTACTCTTACACTTAACCAATCAGTTAGCGATTGATAACACAATACAGAAATGTGTCCTATCTTAAGGAAAAAAAACAGTTAAGAACAAGATGAGAAGGTGAGTAAATCAATAATTACAATACATTATATATAGAAAGGATAAAATTAAGTGGATAGTGAATTGATAAACAGTTTAATTTTTTTGCAGAATGTAGACAAAGAATATGACTTATACACTTCGGGTATTGAATTATACCTGGTAGCTAAATTATACGAAAAACTTCGTTTAAATAATGTTGTTTTGTGCGGTGGTTTTGTGTCTTAACGGTCTAGTGTGCACATCCTTACTTAAAACATTTTTTTCTCCGAGGTATAAGGGCTTTGACGTATGCAACAATTTATGTATGAAAATTAAGTAGTGGTAGCTTACTAAATTCTCAAATTTCATCCACTTCAATATTTTGTAATTGGCTGAAATATGGTCAAATTTTCGTAATCCAAAAATGAACCGTACAGAATTATTTTGAATGATTTGGATAATTTTTCTTGTAAAGCAATCTAATGACGGAAAATAGACAATATCACAGTAATTTAGGAAAGATACGACTAAACGTTCGCTTAGTTTTTTGCTGAGTTTAAAATTCAGTAAATATCGCTTTGCTATAAGAGTGCGTCACCTGGGATACATTTTTTGGGACAGACTCTTCACATGTTCAACAAACCTCATTTTAGTGTCACTGACATGCATATTGTTTAAGCATCTTGTTTACTCATGGACGCTTTCGGATGGTAGGCGATATAAAACTCCTACTTAGTAACTTTAATCCATACATTTTCAAGGGATTCCCAAAAGGAACATCAAATACGATTTCTTCTGCATTAAGGTCTGAGTTGACATACATACCAACACTGCCACCCTGTGATTCTGTATCACACTGAAAGAAGTTATAGCTACTAATGCTAACTATATCGCTGCTGATATAGGTATTTAACCATGTTTCAGTCACAGCAAATAAATCATAGTTTTCCAAAGTAATAGTGATTATAAAGGCATCAAGAGCAGGACGACACTCCTATACGAATGCTAGATGGATACTGACCAAATCGCTCATCTATGATCATACAGGTGGATCCTGACCTTTTATTTCGACCTAAAATGGAGCGCCGTTAGGACCGATCCGGAATCGATCCTAAATAGATTCGACACAATCCAAAAATGTGTACGCCCAAAATAAAACCATTATTTGGGCGAAGAAAATAAACCAACGCATATTTTCAACATGCATCTTAATTCAAGGAACTGGTGTAACATACTGGCAACGCGGCAGATTGCCGCATCGGCGTTGCTTGGCGATGTGGTGATGAGATTCGCTATTCAGCCGGCTTCTATCTCTTTCTAACATATGTGTCTATACACACTTCTCTCTCGTACACATTGAACTCAAACCGTCAGACAAATTTAGTTTTCAGTGTATAGCATATGAAATGATCAGATAAAATCACATACAAAAGATCTATATGAAATATTAAAATCACAGAACCCAGTAAATAAAAGCG